AAGAGAAGATGAATTGGGAGAGTACTCTTGATAAAGATTAAAGTTGAATAGTTTCCCTTTCAGAAGACAGATAAAAGCTTCCTTCCTTCCTTTTTTCCTGAAGTCAGATGGCTGCAAAGGGCTGGGCTCAAGATGGTTGGGGTTCTTTCTGGTGAGTCAGATGTTCACATCTGAGTTTGTTCTCTTCCTCTCAGTCTTGGCTGGTTAGGAGAGTTGAGGATTGGGGTTCCAGATTGTTTGCATGGTTGGCCCTTTAAGGGACAAGACTTTGTAGGCTTCTCCTGGTGTGGACCTTAGACAGTGCCTTGGACATCACAGCACGTACTAGATGCCTGTTGACTTAATTTTCTGTTCATTAGGGTTAGAACCTGAGTTTGGGAGTCGACAGCCCTAAGAGAAGACTGTTTGGCCTGTAAGGCAAAGCTTGCAGAGCTTATAATCCCACAGGGCTGAGTTAGAACACCGGCTTGGGCCCTTGCTAGCTGTATGACCTCATCTTTTAGCCTCAGTATCCTCACCTCCAGGGTTCTAGTTAGGGCCTATCTTAAAGTGACTTCTGCTATTGCGCCCCCTTTGCTGCCTTGCTGCCTCTGGGGGACCACCATCTTTCAACCAGCCTAGAAACAGGGCCATCCTTTGCAGGCCACAGCTGCCCTGACAGATGACCTCCAATCGAGTCTCCTTCCTAGAGCCTTCGAGGCCCCAGCAGGCCCAGCAATGCCCAGCCCAGTCCAGCCAAGCCCAGCTTACCTGGGCTTTCTTGGAAAGCAGCAGAAGACGATGCATAGGGCTCCTCAACCAGGGTCTCAGCCCAGGCGTCAGGGAAGGCACCCCCTCCCACTCCTGGGGGTCTGCAGTGCATCTGAGAAGCCTTGGGGCCAGGCTGAGCCAGAGTGGTAGAAATAGTACATGGCAAGGCTCCAGTCCCTAGAACCCTGCTGTGTCCCACACGCCCTATGCCCAGCTTTGTGCTGGGTCTGACATAGGTGCAGCTGGTCTGCCCTTAGGTCCAGTCCCTCCAGCCAATTCTAATCCAGTTGGTCTCTACCCTTCCCAACCAAGGCCATCTGAAAGTGACTGACAAAGGTTCCTTCAGAGACAAGTAAGATGATCTGATGCTCCCATCTCTTTAAGGCCTTGACACATTTTGTTGTGAGCCACACAGTCAAAGGCTTTAGTGTAGGTCAATGAAGCAGAAGCAGATGATTTTCTGGAACTCTCTTGTTTTCTGCATAATCCAGCGAATGTTGGCAATTTGATCTCTATTTCCTCTCCTCTGCAAAAACCAGTCTGCTCTTCTGATAATTCTTGGTTCATGTATTTCTGAAGCCTCTTGTAGGCATAACCTTGCTGGTATGTGAAATGAGCTCAATTGTTCAGTAATTGGAACAATTTTTGGCATTGCCGTTCTTTAGGATTGGGATGTAAATTGATCTTTTCCAATCCAGTAGCCACTGTTGAGTTCCAATTTTTTTTCTGAATAGTGAGTACAGCACTTTAACAGCATCAACTTTTAGGATCTGAAGTAGATCAGCTGAAATTCTGTCACTTCCATTAGCCTTTTTATTAGCAATGCTTCCTAAGGCCTGCTCGACTTTATTTTCCAGGATGTCTGGCTCTAGATCAGTAACCACACCACAGTAGTTATCAGAGACGTCAAGATCTTTATTGGATAGTTCTTCTGTGTACTCTTACTTTCCCCCCCAATATTTTTAAACCTGGAAGATTAATATTCTTCATTCCCCATTTTGGTATATCCCAATCATAACTATTCCTCTGGACTGTCCTACATCTTCAAAGGCATTTGATGCTCCAATGTTTTAGTTTCTAGGAAAGAAGGGACCCCATGTGCATGGCCCTGTATTGAACTATCCTCTGGGGTAGCTAAGCAGCCAGGTTTTTTCAGATGAGTCTCACTAGGCCTTACTTTAAAAATATGCATATAAAGAAGATATGGAGATCGCTCCACTTTTTTAAAAAAAAATTAAAGCTTACATGATACTGTTCATAATCCTTTGTCTTCAACATGCAGAGCTCTGATCTTATTGAAGTTTGCCACAAGCAGTATGTGGAAATTTTTCTTATACTGTGCTATGAAAACTTGTCTGTTGGAACTGTCCCAAATGGCAGTTGAATTTGTTGAATCTGATCACACCACAGAAAGAGTTTCTTACTAAATGGAAGATCTGAATATCCTTTTGCTAAACATTTTCAGTTATAAAATCAGCTCCAGGGCAGGGAACTTGGCCCTTCTGTTGAAGTAGCAATGGGTATGAATATGTTTTGGGGTCAGAGAATGCTACAAGACTGAGGCACTGGTTAAGTGCCATGATGATCACAGAAAAGGCAGAGAGGTCTTCAATACCACAGGCAGAAGCAGGATCCAGATCAGTCTAACATTGTGGCAAGTCAGGAAGCCTTTCTGAGAGAGAAGGTACAAGTAAGCTACTGGTGGCTTTGTAAACACTAGGGCCTACAAAGGGTCATTTTCTGGATGTCTTCATGAGAGTGGCTAATTTTTCCAGCCTGTTAGTAGAAGTAGTTGTCTGAGGCCTCACTGTACCATGGAGCCAACTCTGGAATCTTGAAAGCTTATACCCATGGTGCACACTATCTGCCAGGTTCTACCATAATCAAAAAGCTTCAAGTATTCTGGAAAAAGACTGAGGTGCTGTTTAGCATTGAAGCTCCCTTGTAATCTGGCCTCAGCATACCTTTGTTGGCTTACTGTATATCACTTCCTTTCACACACTCTTAAGTTCCAAGCAAATTGGCCTATCTGCTGTTCCTTATAAAAAATATTGCATCTAGGCAAAGCCAAGAGGGCTGAGTGAAAGCAGGGACTCACTTGAGCTCTCCCCTGAATCTCTTCAAATACCTCTAAAAAGTGACTCTGAATAAAGTCTAGAATGGCAGAAACCATAGTGAGACCAATTGAGGCAGATTTCCAGCCCAAGGCAACCTGGAAGGTCGACAGCACAGGTCTGTTGCACTGGCTTGAGAGAGGAGTGTCCAGCACTCAGGGCACAGCACAGATCTGGCCTAAACAAAGCCAGAGTAGGCTTTGAGGACTGAATCACCAGCAGCAGTGGTACTTTGCAGTCTTCTCAACCCACAGACTCCAGAGACAACTTAAAAGGTCAGTGGGAGGGGTCTATCAGAAGGAACCGGGGGGGAGAGAGAAGCAAAGTCCGGTCCAAGGCTGCAGGGTGTGCCAATACAGCTCTGGCTCAGCAAACCAGTAGCAGGCCCTGGGAGTGACGGAATCCACAACAGTAGCGGTGGCAGTCGGGGCAGCAGTAGCAGCAATGGCAGTGACAGCTGCTTGTAGAGCCCACAGATTGAATGTTTGAAAGTCACCTATTTCAACTTCTGAAAGCCAAAATGGCAGAGTAAAGAGTAAGTTGCTCTCACCTTCCCTTATTGACTTTGAAAAACCAGAGAATATTGCCCCAGGAAAAACCCTGAAATAGTAGAGAGGCTAGAAAACAGACTAGCTATAGCAGTCTTTTAGCTCCTGAAGGCTAGGGGGATTAATGGGAAAGATCCCTCTTGCTGTGACCTAAGGGGACTAGTACAGGAAGGACAGCATCTCAGAAAGCTAGTGGCAAGCCACACCTCAGCAAACCAGTAACCAGGCCCCTAGTCCCTAGCACAAGAAGCCTGGAACAGTTTCCCCTATGCCCCACAAGCAGAGATCAACTTTAAAAGCCAGTAAAAAGTCAAACAACATGAGCAGAAAGCAACATAGAAAAACAATGACCATAGAGAAATATCTCAGTGACAGGGGAGATCAAAACACAAATTCAGGAAAGGACAACACTGTCAATATACCCTTGTGAAACTCAGAGGGGAATATGAACTGGTCTCCAGCCCAAAAAGCCTTCTTGGAAGAGCTCAAGAAAGATTTTATAAGTCAAATAAGGAGGTAGAAGGAAAAAAAAATTGAACAATTCCTTTCAAACTACAGTTGACAAAATGGAAAAAAAAAAGTACACTGAAGAAAACAACTCTATAAAAAGTAAAATAGGCCAAAGAGAAAAGGAGGTACAAAAGCTAAGTGATGAAAACAACTTATTAAAATTAGAATTGGGCAACTGGAAGCTAATGACTCTATAAGACATCAAGAATCAGTCAAACACAATCAAAGAATGAAAAAATAGAAGAAAATGCAAAATACCTCATTGGAAAAACAACTGACCTGGAAAATAGAGATAATTTAAGAATTATTAGTCTACCTGAAAGCCATGATGAAAAAAAGAGCCTGGACATCATCTTTCAGGAGATCATCAAGGAAAACTTCCCTGAGGCCCTAGAAAAAGGGTAAAAGAGTCATTAAAAGAATCCACCTATCACCTCCTGAAAGAGATCCCAAATTGAAAATGCCAAAGAATATTGTAGCCAAATTCCAGAATTATCAGGCCAAGGAGAAAATCTTGTAAGCAGCCAGAAAGAAACAATTCAAATATCATGGAACCACAGTCAGGATTACACAGGACCTCGCAGCTTTTACATTAAAAGATCGAAGGGCTTGAAATATTATATTCTGTAAGGCAAAAGAGCTTGGATTACAACCAAGTGTCCACTACCCAGCAACATGAGCATAATATTCAGGGGAGGAAACATTCATTCAATGAAACAGGGGACTTTCAGACTTTGTGATGAAAAGACCAGAGCTCAATGGAAAATTTGATCTTCAAATACAAGACTCAAGAGAGACATAAGAAGGTAAACAGGACAGAAAAAAAACCAACAGTATGTTATTAATAAGGGCAAACTGTTTACATCCCTACAAAGGAAGATGACACTTGTAACTCTTGAGAACTGTAGCTGTATTACGGTATTTAGAGGGGATATACATTGACGGAGGGGATGGGTTTAAGTTGACTTTGATGTGATGATAAAAAACCTGATGAAGTGGTGAAAAGTAATTGTAATGGGAGAAGAGGAAAGGATGAGGCAGAAAAGGGTAAATTACATCACATGAAGAGGAGATAGAGAGACACAAAGACATATTACATTAGAGGGAAAGAAGGGAGGGAGATGAGCATTGTTTGAACTTTACTCTCATCGAATTTTGCTCAAAGAGGGAAATAACAATCAGTTATGCATAGAAAACTAACTTGTCATATAGGCAAGTACTGCTGTTTATTAGAATTAAAATTCTTCACTTTGTATTTGATCTCTTTGGGATCTAAGTGGTATCCCAGCATCAAAGAACATATATATGAACAGCATTTTCAAAATGCTGTTTGAAATAAGAGGGAACAAGTCCTGGCTTCACCCATAGTGTTTCTGTGCTTCTTTCTTCCCATGGTCCCAGCCCTTCTAAAGCCAGATGCTGTGGCTCCTAGGGGGTCAGGCCAGGCTAGGCTGCCCAGAGAATGGTCCTCCCTGGCTATGCAGTGCCCAGGTCTAGGGCTCTGAGGCAGCTCTGATCTTACAGGGAGTGAGAACTCTGGGAGGTCCTTAGTCTTTTGTTGCTGGCAGCTCAGTCAGGGCCAACCAGAGGCTCTGCTGTAAGCTCTTCGGGCTCCTGGCAGCCTGGCTGGGTTGTGGGGCTCATTCTGGACAATCTCAGGAAGGAATGAAGAAATCTTGTATTTACCCCAGTGTTCAGTGACAGATGCTGTCATCCTCCAAGGCTTTGGCTTGACTGCCTGGCTTGGGAGAGCCTCATGACCTTGGAATATTCCAGCAGATGGTACCTAGCAACTATCAGGGTTCCAGTAACAGAAGGCCAGCTACTGGCCATCGATGTAGGATGCCTGTAGCAGTTTTTTTTTTCTATTTTTTAATTGTAGGTAAGCTACTTGGTGGATGTATGTTACCCACACCAGGAAGTCTGTTGTCCTTGCAGGCTATGAAACCTTTGCCTTCTGACTTCTGCAGTGGAAAGCCACGGTACAATAGCAGGCGTGCCATCTCTGCCCTCTCTAAGACCTACTGTGCTTGGGTCAAACAGCAGGAAGAGGTAGGTAGTCTTCCCTGAGCAGTTCTCTGGGCAGAAAATGAGTGCTCAGGAGATGGTTTTATCTTGTCCAACGCATGACCATGAAGCAAGGGGACTGGTTTTCAGGTGTGTGGCAGATGGATAAGGGACTCGGCAGGCACTGAAGTGGAGTCTGTGTTCATTTTAGGACTCTACTTTGCTGTTGCCTGTTTGCTTTCTTTTGAGTATCTCCTGAAGACGGGAGATAATTTAGCTTCCCTCCAATAATGATGCCGGCATTAATCCTAGGAGGAAAACTCATTTCCAAAGTAAATTGGTTTGCTATAGCAAATGTACCAGGGCAGAAAGTTGCTCTTGTCCTTTGGAAAGGATCAGTGATCCCAAGGTTTACTCTGATACCAGTTGTTAGGGCCACTCTTAATTTTTTATGACATTCATTATATTCTAAAGCTTTTTTCATGAAGTAAATGCAATATGACCTGCTGGAAACCACAAAGACAAAAACCGATCTGAAAATTTCTCCACTTCCCTTGTCTCTACCTTCTGCTTGGGAGCTGTTATTGTCCCACCTCTGAGCAGGACCTGCTCTTGCTATGGGCCTTCCCAGGATAGGTGAGAAACTGAAGTCTGCCTATGAGAAGATGTCATCCATTCCATCGCTAGGTCCTTCTTCAGCCCTAGTCTCTTTCTAGCCTTCTCTCCCTTGCTAGCATTTTGATTGGTGACCTCCACCTCCCATTCACTCCCTTTCTCACCTCCCACCCTTCAGACATTCCTCATCTGGTCACTTTGTGTTCCCTTGGTGTCAGCACTGGGCTCTAAGGTGCAAGAGCATCGTATGCCCCAAACATCTGGTCTCAGAAAGCTCTGTTGAGGGCTAGAGGCTTGAGAAACTGTCAGAATTCACAGTGGATCATCAAATGGATCATGAGTCCACAGGGCTGGCTCCTAGGCACCTGTTCATTGAGGTTTAAAACAAGCAACGTCAACACAGAAAGACAAGATTCTGAATATCCACAGCATTGCTTCAACCATACTAAACATCGCCACTCTGGTCCAGCCTTGGATAGACCCTCATGTGAGTTCCTAGACATCCCACTAAGTGTTGGATGGGTTTTCAGGGTGCTCCATAAGGCATGTGTCCTTCCAAAAATGCAGCCCCCAGAGCTCTCCATGTCAGATGTGGTCTGGCCAGGAGATTGCCACTGTCTAATGCTACCCCTGTATTATGGACACTATCTGTCTGTCCATTCCCCTCTTTCTCTCTCTCTCTCTCTCTCTCTCTCTCTCTCTCTCTCTCTCTCTCTCTCTCTCTCTCATCTCTGTCTTTCTGTCTCAGTGTCTGTGTCTCTGTCTCTTTTTGTTCTCTCTCCTGTTTTTGTCTGTCTTCCTTCCTCTCTCTCTCTTGTCTCCATCTCTTTGTCTTTCTCTGTCTCTTCCTCTCTTTCTATGCTCTCTCTCCTCTTTCTCTCTCTGTTTCTCTCTTCCTCTCTCTGTTTCTATGTCTCTGTCTCTGTGTCTACCTCTCTGTATTTGTCTCTGCCTCTGGATTCAGCCCAAAGGCCCCTCCTTTTCTGGGCTGCCATATTGCACTTGGCTCCTATAGAATTTGCAGTCCACTAAAGTCCTCCAGCCTGTCAGGTGAACTGCAGCTCACATATCCTACACCATCCTGTCTTGGGGATGTGGCTTTATCTTCACATAAGTAGATTTGACTTCTGGCTAATGTACTCTGCGATCCCACACCCCTCTGACCATCCTATCCTGCTCCCTTCAGGTAGCTAACCTGTAGGGCTGTCACTCCCAAGATTGTTTCCAGGATCCAGTGAGATAGTGAGCTAAAAAGCATTTATTAAGGGCTTGTTCACTGCAGTGCTCAGCCCCTGGGATACAAAGAAAGGCAAAACCCTAGTCTCTGGCTCCAGGAGTTCCCAGTCTAATGCCAGTAACTAAGCACGTCCAGTATGTGTGTAGTGCAAAGGAAGGAGGCCCTGGGTTCAGTAGGGCCCTTGGTGGCCTCCTAACATGGGTGAGCTGGGAGCAGAGTCTTGAAGGAGACCAGGGAAGGTGGAGGCTTTGGTGGAGAAGGATTTCCCAAGCAGCTTGGGAATCTGAAAGGGGCCCAGCCCCACTTTTAGGATGGTCATTTCATTACCTGGACAGTGGCATTTGATCCTTCAGGCCTGACCACAAAGCCCCCAGCCTGGGGCCCCTATCTCCAGCATGGTCTTTTCTATAAGACCCAGTGGGGGCCACTTGGGTGTTCTGCATACCTGCCCAGGTGGGGTACTCACCTTCAAACTTTGAGGCCCCCTTAATGTAAGCCCAGCTCAAGGGCCCTGCCTTTATCCTCTGGCACCTTGAATTTCAGGTTAGGTACCTGGGGACTCATCCCCTCAAGCTTCTATTCCTCCCCTCCCTGCTCCAGCTACCAGTTCGGTTAGACCTTGCCTGAATGTGATGAGACCTTACTTGCTATGATGGACATACGTAGTCATGTCTGAGAGAGCTTCTTTTGGATTCCAAGAGTGAAGTGTTAGCAACCTGTTAGGGTACTCTTTGAGAGCCTTGGGGCAGCTTTGGATAACCTCCTATAGATGATAGGGGAAGTAAGGTTCCAGTCATCACTGCTGTCATTCAGGAGCCCAGCGGGCAGCAAGGGCCTGTCAGGAGCGGCAGGAGGGGTCTAGGTTGCTTTGAGGTCAGTAAACTCTATACAGAACCTTCAAACAAGGGGACCCTGAGTCCTCTGATAGCTCTCTCAGCAAGTGGCCATCTCTCAGCGAGAGCAGAGTCTCTGTCAATCTAAGATGCTCCTAGACAAGTAAGGAATCTAAGGAGAACCTCATAGCCTAGTTCCAGGCTCCTGAGAGCAGCATCAACCTTTTGAGAATGCTGATTCAGCCAAAAACAACCTCCTCCAAGATGCCCACCTCCATAGTCCCTGCTTACAGAAACATCTGAGTTTCTGGATTACTTGGCAGGCCCTAGGAATGTTCTTTAGTATGTGATCAAAATCTAAGTGTTCTTCTGCCCAGAGGGTGGTCAGATCTTCCTAGGGAGCACAGAAAAGGAGACAGACATTCAACAAAACCCAGAGAACTTTTCAGGCTGTGGCAACCCCAGAGTACTGCTTCACCTCAAGACTTCCCTGACCTCCATGGGTGCTATTGGATCAAACCTAGAGAGGCTGGTCCTGGTAACCTGGTGTTATCAGGAGGACAGGTGGGCAGCTCCTGCTTTCACCTCACCTTGATGTGGACAGTGGTGTCCCTTTGGAAGTCCTCCTTCAGGGAGGCTTGCTATCAGGTCACCAGGCCCTCCAGGACAGCCAAATTGTCCTCGTGGCTCTACTCCCATTCCCCGTCATATATATGTCTTCCCACTGCAGCCCCTTTATTTTTCTGTTTAGGTCACTCAGTCACCCTTTTCCACACTGGTGCCTCAGGGATTTTTTTTTATGACTTTCTTCTGTATTATTATTATTATTATTATTAATTAGGCAAAGCCTAAAAGGAAATTGGTCTCAAGGACTGTGAAGTCAGTTGGAACAGTGGATATTTGATTATGACAGGCCTGGGGGAGGCCTCACTAACCTGATTAAGACAAAGAGGTCCTGCAGGGAGGCAGCTGTGGTCAGGTGGTACCAGGTATTTCTGAAGCAGCAGTGGAACAGGTGAAAGAGCCAACCTGTAAACGTCCCAGCAGAGGGATTCAGAGACTTCACCCTGCAAGTCTGTCATGTCCCAGAGCTAGCCTGCTCCCAGCCTGTCAACTCTGCAGCCCCTTCTTGCTATTCTGGCTCTAGCTGTGCATACAGATCCTTCTGTAACAAGCCCATCTTCACACAGTGTCCTAGAGTTATTCCACCCATGCCCATGGTGCCCCTGCATAGGAATGAGGAAGCTCCTTTAGGTGCACTGTAGGGACTATCCTGGGCACTGTGCCCACCCACTGGCAGAACCAAAATGAAAAGCCGATCCCCATCCACAAGAAAACACCAACATGGGAGACTGCATTCTGTAAGGTGGATGTAAGGGCCAGGCTGGTCCATAAGTGCTTGCCCTGAAGGGAAGGGAAGAAATGAAGATCCACCCAGAAGAAGAAAGCCTCAAGAATGCCCCATTTTCATGCTAAGGCTTGAGCCCTCCCACCCTGAAAACCCCCATCTGGAGCCAGACTGCAGAGTTCTCCATCTTATATGAGAGATAAAGTCCCCCCCGCCCCCAGCTATAGGGTACCCTTCAAAGTAAGTGGTGCACTGCCTGAGGAATGGGGCTCCAGAGGGAGGAAGTGACGCCTACCTGCACAGTCATCCTCAGAGAAGTATCTTGAGGAGCATTCAGAGATGTTATAGGTGACTTTGTCCAGGTGAGCAGCTGGTGAGAGGCATTTCCCACTTCTGGATTTTCTCCTCAGCGTCATAGGGGTTACCAAGCATGAGAAGCAAAGATAAGAGAGTGAAAAAGAAGAAGGGGGGAAAAGATAGGGAGAGGGGAAGGACAGGATTTGAATGAGACTTTCCTGGAGACTTCTGGGGTGAAAAGAAATGATACCCAGAGCCCTCTGTTCCTGTTCTTATTCCTTAAACAGATGAAGAGTTTTGTTTTTTTTTTGTTGTTGTTATTGTTTGTTTTTCTTTTGTTTTGTTTTGTTTTTAACTTTGGGTTCAGGATTCAAAAAAGCCAGAGGTACCCTGAGCCAAGGAGGGCCTCTTTCCAAATTAAACCACCATGATGAGGTATGAGAGGAGCTAAGAGTCAGCTAAATCTGTCTCGTCACTCACAGGCATTTCACCCAAGAGGCTCCCTGCGCTGTTGCTGGGCCATGCGGCTCGCTCTAAGAACCATGGGCCCTGGGGCTAGTTAAAAGAGAAACATGGCTGAGAGGGGTTGTCCATGCCCAGCTTCAGGCCTCAGTGTTCCAGGCCTTCTCTGAGACTCATGTTGACCCTCCCTAGTTCCTGTTCTCAGAGAGTGAAGGCATCAGCAACCCAGGTTATGGTAGAAGGGGGAGAGATAGTGCTAAGGACAGGAAATTCTCACCTTTGTGGGAAAAGAAAGCAAAAGAGTGATGTCTCCACTCAAAAATGGAGGCAGGAAAGAAATGCACACATGGCAGCGGCAGAAGCCCTTGGTTGCCATGGGCAGTTGTGATGGAGAAGGTGGCTTGGGCTCCCTCTGGCTCTTCTTACCTGAGGGAACTCTTCTTGAAGTTGGTGTGCTGGCCAGGCACCTGGGAACTACCTCCCTCTCTCCCTTGCATATTTGACCTCTTCTAGCTCCATCTTTTCTCCCAATTCCACCTTACGTAGATGTTCCATCTCTCTTCTCAGTAGATGACTGTGTAGGAAAAGGTGATCCCCTTCCCTTCCCAACTCTAAGACAAATTACAATCTTGGCTGTTCTTGCTGCTGTCATTGTCTTTTCCTGGCTCCTTCCTAAGAACAGGGGGAGGAGCAGAAGGGCTGGCCCCAAAGAGTCAAGAGAAGAAACTCGATGTCCCGTCTGCACGATGGGCAGATCCTTCCATTCCTCACCTCGAAACGCTGCTGTTAAGAAAGGGCTTTCCTCGGTTTTAGAAAGAACTGCAAGGTCCAGGTACTCACCAAGATGACAAAGCCTTTGGGAGTGCTGGTGATGTTTGCTGATTAGGTACAGGGCTTTGGGCACATGCTCCAAGGTGACAGCAATGAGGTGGAGCCCTGGGAGCCCTGAAATGCCCAGCACTTGCCAGGGTAGACATTTGGCTATGGGCAGAAGACAAATCACGTAGAAGGTGGTAGCACATGGAACAGATCTGGATCCTGGGGCCCCCTTGCCTTGAGAGCCCAGCCCTCACAGATGAAGGAGGAGACGGCAGACAGAGAGCCAACCTGGGGGACCTCTGTTCAGCCCTACCTGGTGGATGGCTCTTTGGATCTGGAAATGGTACCACAAGGTTATGCCAAACAGACTGATAACAGACATCCTGGTGCCATAGGTCTCTAAGCTTTGGCTACTGAGGATGCTGGCCCCTGAAAAGAGAAACAGGGAGAGGAGTTAGGGGGCACTCAAGGTCTTGGATGACACAGATATGGCTTAGGGCAGCCTTCAAGGCAAGGGGGTGCTGCCAGGGCATCTGCCCTCCTACCTGTGCCACCCCATTAAGGGCATCCCAATTTGTCAATTCCTCCTGTCTCATAACGGCTATGCTGATTTTTCAGTCCCTCTTGTCCCAAGCCTGCTGGCTTTCTGCAGGCCTCCTACCTGAGGACTCCAGGGCATAATCCACCAGTTCAATGTGATCTTCACTGTAGAGTTTCAGGGCCTGCTGCATGATCTTATGCACTTCCTAAAAGATAGGCATTCATGACTCATGGGCCAGGCCACCTGTAGGGGAAGGGCAAGCACGCTAACTGGTGGGCCTTGGCTTCCCTCTCCCTCCTGGCAGTCTCCTCTCAGGGCAAACCCATGACCTAGCCAGGAGGATGGGCAGAGGGACCAGGTTCAACTCCTTTGTCACTCCTTCCTTTAGAAAGGTCAGCCTGAAGATGGCAGCAGCTTTGCTAGCATACTTGTCCTGCTCCTCTGCCAACTGAGTCAGGATTCCTTGCTCCAGGTCCTAAAGCTGGGCCTGTTCCTCCTCTAGCTGTACAAGCCTGGCCTGAGTGCCCTTGTCTGCAATAAGTAATTGGTGGATCAAGGCCGGGATCTCAGATTCCATCTAGAAGCCACCAGAGGAAAGAGCTCAGCAAACACCTGAGAAACTGCAAGGGTGAGGAAGGAAGAGGGTCTGGACAGGAGACCTGGGATGCCTAGAGACACTCTGAGAGCTCAGGGCCAGCACATGCCTGCCTGGTGCCGGAGAAGGGATGGTTGTGAACCAAATGACTGGCATTTCTCCACTGCTTTTGAGGTCTGCAGAAAGGATCTCATGATATTATCCCACTTGACAGATGAGGAAAATCTCATCCATGTCACAAAGTCCACCCAATAGGTTCAATCTTTAGGAAGTGCCCAGTGGAAACCTCAGATGGTTGCAGCTCCCTGGGCAGATGTCCGGGCAGCAGCAGCCCAGCTGAGATCAAGGGGCATGCATTGCTTAACCAGGGGACTGGAGGACTCACGTCACTGCACAGGGCCACCATCTTTTCTCGCCAAAGGTGTATTTCTTTGGCCACTGCAGCTTGTCTTTGGCTGACGGCCGCCAGCTCCTGCCTCAGGCCAGCCAGCTGGGCCTCCAGGGAACCCATCTCCTTTGGCCTTTTCTCCTGGGAGTCTTCTTGGGACAAACTAGCCAGTGACAAAAGGAAAAATCAAGGTCAACCTTGGCACAGGCACTGGAGGACAGACTCAAACAGAGGCCAGGAAATGGAACAGTGTCACCTGAAGAAAAGCACCACCCAGTGTAAAGGACAGAGCCAGAGAACAGGCTGCAAGACTTTACTGACATTTCCTCCCTGCGGCACCCTGGGTAGGTCATTTCCCTCTGAGGCCTCAGTAACCTCATCTGCTCTCTGAGGTCCTCACTAGCTCGGATCAATCCTATGGACGTGTTAACCCCAGTGTTCTGCCTCCAGTGACCCCCCTTCCACCTGAGGGAATCTCAGTCGTGCCCATCAATTGGGGAATGGCTGAATAGGTTGTGGTGTATGAATGTGATGGAATAGTATTGTGCTATAAGAAATGATGAGCAGGTGGACTTCAGAAAAACCTGGAAAGACTTGTATGGACTGATGCTGAGGGAAATGAGCAGAACCAAGAAAACATTGTATACAGTAACAGCCACACTGTGTGATGACTGACTTTGATATACTTGGCTCCTCTCAGCAATGCAAGGATCTAAGACAACTCCAAAAGACTCATGATGGAAAATACTATCCACATCCAGAAAAAGAACAATGGAGTCTGAATGCAGATGGAAGCATACTATTTGATCTCCTTTTACTTCGTTGTTTTGTTGTATTTCTTCATTCTCATGGTTCCTCCCATTAGTTCTAATTGCACTTGACATCATGACTAATGGGAATATATGCTGAATACGGACATATAACTAGAGCCTATATCAGAATGCACACCATTTTTCGAAGAGGGGAGAGGTAAGGGGGCAATTTAAAACTCAAAATCTTATGGAAATGAATCTTGAAAACTATCAATTAATTTATTATTATTATTAATTAGAAGAAGAAATGTGACCAAAATTAAATTGTGTGGCTTATGAAAAATAGAAAAGTAATTTCTTTAAAAATGGTGGAACACAGAGCCAAGATACAAGGCAAGCTGACACCAATCCTACCAGGAAGGAACAAAAAAGACAAAAGGACCTGCTGATTTTCTCACCATCAGATGTCTGTGGCTCTTTCTCCAGTAGATACAGAGTTAAAGGATATGAACAGGCATTTTTCCAAAGAAGAAATACAAGGGATCAACGACCAAATGAAAATAGAAAATATCCAAATCACAAATAAATAGAGAAATGCCCATGAAGGCAACTCTAAGGTTCTACCTTCTACCTTTCAGGGTGGCAAAGAGGACAAAGAGGTAAAATTAGCCATGTTGGAGGAGCAGTGACAAATCAGGAAGGTTCGTCTAGGGCAGCAATGGGGTGCCAGACTGCAGAGTTCTGGGCCTCGTCTCAGACAATCAACCAGACTTTGTTCCAGAGGGAGATGGAAAGGCATTCCTTCTCTTCAGAGTGTGGCATCAAGAATGAGACCCGGGCTGGAAAGCCCTTCCAGGTAGCCTCCAGTGTGGAGTTCTCCAGCCATTCACTGCTGATGTTTTTAATGGGGCTAAGAATGGGAGGGACATTGTCATCTCCTTCACTCCTTTCTCTCTTTCTAGTCCCGCCCCTTCCCCAGAAAAAGGAAGGACAAAGGGGCTTAACTTTGAACCAGCAGATTGGAGGGCTGCAGATTGGCCTTATGCCCGCCCCTCAGACATTCTTACCTTCTTCCTTCCTCACCCCAGCTCTGCAGCCTCACAGAGAGTCCACCCTCCCATCCTTGGGGGTAGCTCATCCCTTGGAGTTGGCTTTGGGCAGCCTGGAGAATTCCATGCATCTCTCATTTGGCCTAGAAGTGGGGCCTTAGCTTGCTCAGGATCATTTAATGAAGCCCCTTGTTGTCTAGGGGTGTCCCTTCCCATGTGGGTGGAGCAGCTGCTCCACCTCTTCCCTCTAAACCCAGCAGCCCTTCCATCCTGCCCACCCTGCCCCTGTTGTGGCTCCTACTGGAGCTGATTTGGAGGTTATACCAAGGGTGAGGATGTCCCCAGAACCTTGAAACTGGCTGTTGAGGGAGGGAGTGGGAAGGGCCCTCCAACAGTCAGGAGGGCCTTCTTTGCCTCAGAGATGCCCAGAGGGTCAAAGCCAACTAATATTTGTTATTATTATTATTTCAATGTTTTCACATTTGTTTTGAAAACTTTGAGTTCCAAAGTCTTTCCTTTTCTCCTTCCCCATCCCCACCCCCTCATTGAGAAGGCAAGCAATTCCATATAGATTATATATTGTAGTCATACAAAACATATCCATAATGCTATGTTGTGAAAGAAAACATAGACAAAAAGCCTCAAGAAAAATAAAGTGAAAAAAAAAGTTGCTTCTGTCTATTTTCAGACACCATCAGTTGTTTCTCTGGGAATGGATAGTATTTTTCATCTTAAGTCCTTCAGAGCTGTCATGAACCCTTGTATTGCTGAGAAGAGCCAAGTCATTCAGAGTTCATCATCTTACAATATTGCTATTATTTTGTACTTAGTACATTTCACTTTGTAACAACCCACCTAAGTCTTTCTAGCTTTTTTTGGAGAGCATCTTGCTCATTGTTTCTTATAGTATAAGAGTTTTCCAACATAATTACCTACCACAACTTATGTAGCCACTCCACAACTGATGTGCATCCCCTCCACTTCTAATTCTTTAATCCCCAGAAAGGATCTGCTATAAATATTTTTGTACATATAGGTCATTTTCCTTTTTCTTTTCTATCTCTTTGATCATACCGATCTAGGAGTGGTATTGCTATGTCAAATATGGTATATTCTAAGCATGGTTTCATAGCTCTTTTGTCATAGTTACAAATCACTCTATACAATAATTTAATCAATTCACAACTCTAACAACAGTATGTTAATGTCTCCTTTTTCCTTACCTTTTCTGTCCTATTATCTAATCTTATAGGTATGAGATAGGGCCTCAGAATTATTTTGACTTGCATTTCTCCAATCAACAGTGAGGTAATTTTTTAAAATATGGCTATAGATAGCTTTAATCATTTAATCTAAAAATTGATTATATCTTTTGATCATGTATCAATTTTGGAATGGCTCTTATTTTTTTTTATAAATTTGACACTTTTCTACATGTTAGAGAAATTAGATCTTTATCAGAGAAAGGTGCTTTAATTTTTCTTCACACTTACTGTTGCTGACTGTATTTCCCTCCATCCTATGCCCTTACCCTTATTTATTCTATTTTCTCTCTCCTTTCACCTTGTCCCCCCTCAAAAGTGTTTTGCTTCTGATTACTCCTTCTCCCAGTCTGCCTTCCCTTCTATCACACCCCTTCTCTTATCCCCTTCCCCTTCTATTTTCCTGTAAGGTAAGATAGATTACTACACCCCATTGCCTGTGTGTCTTCTTTCTCAGTTACATGTAAAAACAATTTTCCTTTTTAAAATTTTGAGTTCCAAATTTTTTCACTTCCTTAATCCCCACCTACTCTCATTGAGAAGGGAAGTAATTCAATATAATTTATACTGCTGTATTCATGTAAAACCCTTCCATAATATTCATGTGGTGAAAGGCTGACTATTTCTCTCCATACTATCCTGCCCCCCATTTACTCCATTCTCTCCTTTCACCCTGTCCCTCCTCAAAATTGTTTGCTTTTGACTAACCCCTATTCGTGAATCTATTGCAGTTGTCTTAGATTCTTACATTGCTGTGAAAAGCCGAAGTCTATCAAAGTCAGTCATCTCATAATGTGTGATGTGAGAGGATGCCCATAAATTGGGTAATAGTCGAACAAGTTGTGGTATATGAATGTAATGGGAAGAAGTATAAGAAATGACGACATCTACAAAAGTGTCATGATGGAAAATGTTATCCATATCCAGAGAAAGAACTATGGAGTTGGAACACAGATCAAAGCATACTATTTTGTTTTGTTTCTTCTTTCTTTGGTTCCTCCTATTGGTTCTAATTCTTCTTTACAACATGACTAATGTGAAAATATGTAATAGGATTGTATATGTAAAGCCTATATCAGATTTCATGCCATCTAGGGAAGAGAGGCAGGGAGGAAGGGGGAGAATATTTGAAACTCAAAAGCATATGGAAGTGAATGTGAAAACTAAAAATAAATCAATAATTTTTAAAAAGGAGGGAAAAAGAAAAACAAGAATCACCTACCTAGCAAAACTGAGTGTAATCAATGAGGAGAAAAATTCACATTCAATGAAATAGATGAATTTAATGCACTCTTGAGTAAAAAACCAGAGTTAAACAGAAAAAAAATGATTTTCAAATACAAGGCTGAAGAGAAGCATGAAAAGGTAAACAGGAATGAAAAATCTTAAGAGACTTATTAAAGTGGAACTGTTTACATTCCTACATGGAAGGATTATATTTGTAACTCATGAGACCTTGTTTATGATCAGGGTAGTTGGAGGGAATAGAGAGAGAGAGCACGGGTGAGTTGAATATGAAGGGAAGATATCTAAAATATAACATTAAGGGGTGAGAGCAGAATGTACTGGGAGAAGGAAAAATGGAGAGTTAGGATGGGGTAAATTATCTCCCATAAAAGAGGCAAGAAAAAGCTGTTTAAGTGGAGGGGAAGGGGGGGAGATGAGAGAGAAGGAGTGAACCTTCCTCTCATCGGATTTAGCTTAAGGAGAGAATACTGTACATACTCAATTGGGTATGGAAATCTATCTTATCCTATAGCAGGAAAGTAGCTGGGGCAGGGGAGAATAAGAAAGGGAGGGGAGATTGTAGAAGAGAGTGGTTAGAAGCAAAATACTTTTGAAGAGGGACAGGGTCAAAAGAGAGAACAGAATTAACATGGGGAAGGTCAGAATGGAGGGAAATAATGTTAGTCTTTCACAATGTGACTATTGTGAAAGTGTTTTACATGACTACACACGTACAACCTGTATTAAATTGTTTGCTTTCTCAATGAAGGTAGATGGGGAGGGAGGGAGAGAATTTAGAACTTAAAGTTTTAAAACAAATGTTAAAATTTGCTTTTACATGTAATTGAGAAGTAAGATACACAGGCAAAGGCGTATAGAAATCTGTCTTACTCTACAGGAAAAGAGAAGGGGAAGAGGATAAGAGTGATAGTAGGGAGGACAGATTAGGGGAAGGGGTAATCAGAAAAATCTTGTGGAATTGAACATTGAAAACTAAAAAGAAACAAAATGTTTTGCTTAAAAAAAGGATTAAGAGCAAAAGGACCCACGTGTAAAAATATATCTGAAGATATATTTACATATCAGGTACAGGCCTTGGGAATACCTGAATCAGGAGTGGCAGTGGCAGCAACTGCTTCCAGAGCTTTCAGCCCACAAATGGTAAGGGAGTCTTTTCTGGGTATAATGA